CTTGAGCTCAGACCAGGCACCCTTGATACCAAGAGCTGCGATTCCGACAGAGGCGGCATCTTGCAGCATTGCCTTCGTCTTGAGCTTCTTGGCTTCTTCTGGACTCAGCCGGCCCTCCCTCACAGCCTTCTGCCGTGCATTGCGTTTTTCCATACTCTGATAGACCCCATGTGCTGCGTGTATGGTGGCAACGGCCGCAAGGCCTGTTGTAATCACTTGCTTACCTCTCATCTTTCTTGCCCGCTTCTCATCATCATCAGAATCCCCGAGATCGGAGTCTGAGCTTGCGTCCGATCGTGCTCCCCTGCGACGGGAGCGGTCCCGACGCCGACCGCTCGTGTAAGACGATCTATCGTCATCGTATCCATCGCGCGTGGTTCGGGCGTAACCCCTGTCGTAACCGTCATCATACTCATCGGAATACTTGCGGCTCAGGCCGCGGCGGGAGCTTCGATCGTCGTAGTAACTGTCGTCCCGAGCATGTTTGTCTCTCTCTCTGTCGTCGGGATCGCTGCCAAGGCCGATCTTGGCGAGCTTCTTCCGAGCTGAGTCCACAACACTGCGGCTTCTGCTTCTGTGACGTCTGCCGTCGCGGCTGGACGCTCGGCTGTCGTAAGAATCGGCGCTGCGGCCGCGGCTACGGGAGCGAACGTTCTCAATGGCCTTCTTTGCGCCGAAAGCACCTAGTCCGGCCGTGGCCAGAGCTGCCAGCCCTGGTCCGCCGCCCCCGCCATCGGAACGGGCGCGAGATCGAGACCTGCTTCGGCCGGTCCTGCGATCTTCTTCGATATTACGCTTGGATCCGTTGATAACGCGGTTGCCTACGAGACCGCCAATGACAGACTCGGCCAAGCCCAGCTTGCTCTGCTTCTCTCCGCTCTGCGCGGCATCAATGGTAGCCGCACCAGCAGCGGCAGTGAGGATACGCTTGGTCTTCTCGCCCTTCCAGCCACCGGGCTCCTTGGCGACACGGAAAGCCTCGGTGGCTCCAGCAATCAGAGATGCCATGGCGGCCTTTTGCATCTTGTTCGCAGCCTCTCCACCGGGACCGCGCGACTTGGATCGAGAACCTCTAGAGTCTGGGCTGCCACGGCGGCTTCTCGTGTCGCTGCGGCGGTCATCGTGGTGACCACCACCACCAGCAGCGCCCGTGAGAGCCTTGACAGCGACTCCCAGACCAGAAGCTGCTAGGGCGTTCTCGAGGAAGGACTTTGATCCTTTCTTCTCCTTCTCACCGCCTTCATCGTCGGAGTAGTACTCGGTGACTTTACCATCGCGGCCACGATGCAAGACGTACGTGGCGTTTCGCTCCTCCTTTTCCTTGTGCTTGTTATAGAACTCAGCACCCTGGTAGCCAGCAAGTGCGCCGGCAGCACCAAGAGCAGCGGATGTCAGGTAGTTGCGCTCAACGTCGCCGCCATGGTCTTTGGCCTCCTTTCGATCGTAGAGCTCCTTGCCACCGAAAGCCAAAGCAGCACCGGCCACAGCGGCTAGAATCTTTTCTTGCTGATTGAGAACACGCTCGCGTGATCTCTTTTCCTCCTCGTAATAAAGGCTGCCAGCCTTCCTGCTGCGGCGGTCATAATCGCGGTCGTAGTAGCCACGGTCCCGATCGTCGTGACCCCGGTAATCGTCGTAATACCCAGGCTCGGCTGAACGGGTTCTCCTTGCGTCTCTGTATCCGGGAGGAGGGAAGTCCCGGCGAACCTCCTCAACCGAGAGATCACTATTTTCCCGGGCTCTGGGAACCAGTTCGCGAGACTCGTAAACCCTCAGGTAGGGGTCGTCGGCGTAGCGGGGGTCGACTCTCTCCTCACGTCGCTCCTCGCGGACATAGCGGCGAGTGCGGTGAGGTTCGTAATCATAACTCATGCCGTCAGATAGGGTAGGGTGAAGGAGCCAAGAAGGCCCGTCAAAAAGGTTGGTTGTGTTGGCGCGGGGTATAAGATGGGGATGGGTCTGGTGGGAGTTGTACGAAGTTGAGTTGCAGGATCGATCACAAAACAGGTGGACGTCAGTGCTGATGGAAGATATGTCGGTATGTTGGTCTTGTGTGTCAGGCTGCCGCTTTGACAGTCCTTTTGTGGTTATGAAGTGTCGAGGACAGGAAAATGAACAGGCGAGTCACGCAGGGGAGAGGTTAGGTAGGGAGGAGGGGAGCCTAAGAAATGATGACCGCAGACCGGGGGGAACCAGGGCTGGAAGTGGTGGAAGTGGGTGGGGAGGCAAGGGTCCCGCAGGACGGGAAGGAAAGGCAAATCAGGCGTGGAATGCTGAACAGTTCAGGCAGAGCAGCCAGCCAGAAAACACGCAGACCGGGCAGGGCAGGGCATGACAGGGCAGGACGGGCAGGGTTGGGACACTGTGGGTGACCGCCTATGAACATGGATGCAAGTGCTTGACGACTCAGCATTGCAACTTGCAACTGGACGGAGTGTGCAGGATCCAGATCAGTGCAGCACAGCTAGCTGGAGCATCATTGGATACCGGCTCGTTGCTGAGGGAGGGAATACGGCCGCCCATCTAAACGAAGCAGCTAGGCAGTCTATTTGCAGAGTCATTTGGGATTTCAACACTTGTTGGGCCCAGCCAGGCAAAGTGGATGGCCCCGAGACCGAAAATAGTGTCCTTTTCTATGGCATTTTGTTTTATTTTTTCTGGCTATTTTCCTTCATGCTGGTACTGGCCGTATGCCCTGATTGATTGACTGCTTGGGTACCAAGCGGGACGCTAGGTAGGCTGCCGCCTATTGCGGTAGTGTGCAACGATGCTGGCTTAGTGCCTATCTAAGTGGCCGCGAAGACGGGTGTTCCATGCGACAGGCCGAAGAACGTCGGTGGAAGGCGAGGGCGATGCGTGGTTTACCGAGTCTTGGTCACGAGCAAGTGGAGGTGATGGACGGTCCAAGAAAACAGACAGACTCTGGAGTCCAACCTGCAGCAAACGTCTCTGCGCGCACATGGGTAAGGTTGCTTAAGGTATGCCGCTGGCCTTGCCTTAGGTTGTGGGAGAGCCCCCTCCCCAGTATTCCTGGCGGTGCAGCTGGGACACGCAGCGCCCTCACGACCTGAGGTGCGCAGAACGGTGGCTTGTGACCACCTCAGTGAGTCCCGTCCCCATCAGGAGGAAACCCCGGAAGGGAGGGAGCGTGGGACGAGGCAGCGGTGGAAGATGATATCATAATGGGAGGCTCGCCAGCCACTCAGGTGTCGCCGCCGTCCCGCGAATGAGCCTGACAAATGGGCCGAGCGCTGGCAGAGAGGCTAGCAAGTTAGGTACATGAGGCCTCAACAGAAGGCCATCAGCCAATCCAATCTGACGGGACGCTGGACAACATCGGTGACACTGTCTTTGACAGCCCCCCCCCCCTCGGTGGGCTTGACATGGGCAATTCGGCATGCCCGTTGCTCGCACTCACTTGTCTATTGACATGCCGGCTGGGACATTTGTTTCCCTTTGACACAACATGTCTGCTGGTGATTGCGCGGTAATGAATGACCTGTAAATACTCTGTACAGCCCCAAACAGATTGCAAGCAGCATCACTTGATGGCCGAGCAGGAATGGAAGCACAGTAAGGTACTCCCATTTGCCTCAAGGTACGTATCATGTGCGAAGAACTGGACACCGAGGAGGGGTGGCGGGGAAGCCTGCCGTCCATTCAGTGACGTAATGTCCTCCGTTCGTTCACGGTCCTTTTCGAGGCTCGTTGGAACCGCGCCGTGGCGCACACCTCCCTCGTGGCGGTTGGTATGGCCATCTGACTGACCGACAACCTCAGTATGGCTCACATTGCACATTGCAATCACTACTAGTATGAGTGGTGTGGCTGAGCCTAGATGCATTGCTGATGGGACGGGTGCATGGAGGCCGGAGGGAGGAAACGGTCGCGGGCGAGAAGTCGCGGAGTCGGTTGTCGAGGTGTTGAGGTGTCGAGGTACCTCTCAAGAAAACAAGGTCCTTCCTTTGTCTGATTGATCCCGTCGCTACAAACGGCGCCAGCCAATGAGTGTGGTGCACCTGTGATGCGACCCATGGTGGGACCGCCTGGCTTAGGTTGGTCGGCCACCAAGCAGGTATCTTACGCAGCAAGGCAAGAGAAGAGGCATTGGACTTCGCCCGTCAACCGCATCCCTCCGCCGCCCTTGTTCATGTCTCCCAGCCTCCCAAACCCCGTCAACCCATTTCACGATCTTGGCCGGCAAACACGCAACCTGGCGCCAATCACCCCCCCTGCCCTCTCCCGCTCTCAAGCGATCCAACACTACAATGCCATCACCCGTGTTTCCGTTGGATGCAATCATGGCCGCTGTGCGATGCAGCCGATGGCGACATGATTCGACCGGACACAATGGCACACGCAAGCAAAAGGCGAAATCGATACATCAACGTCACTCCAGCAAGCTGATCTGTTGCCTTGCTTTTTATTCTCCGATCTCATTGTGCTCCCGCAGCTTCTGCCCGCATGCTGCTCTGGCGATACCGCTGCTGGTGATAGGCCATGTTGGAGCTGATGCTCATGATGATGCTGGTGCTGCTCAATGGGCCCCGGGCTGAGCTGGCTGGCTAGCTGCAAGGCCTGCAACTGCAAGGGCAGCATCTCGACCCAACCTCCGCTTTCCAAGGCAGACCGGGGCCCTCACCAAGATTTTCCCACCTTGTCCCCTCACAGAAACCGACGCGAACTCGCTTCCACAAACCGCTGTCGCCATGCCAATGCGTCCCAATTCGTTCTGGCCTGGTCGTACCCGGCCCAGCTTCACCGCGTACGGCGTCATTTCTGTGCTTGACCGCATCACCAAGTTTTCTGCTATTTGGTATTTAAACAACGGGCCTGGCCGGCTGATCCTGTGATCTCTTTCTCTTTGATTCTCCCTTCATTCAGTCGTATATGCTACAGCCAGTGATACCCTTTTTCCACCGCTCGTGTCGTGTCGTCTTTTCCACCATCAAAGAAAACCCCGTGATACCCCGAAAAAGAACAACCCTACTATCAGGAAAATGAAGGCCGCCATTCTGTCCCTGGGCCTTGCTGCCAACCTCGTTGCCGCCGCCGGCCTCCGTCCTCGGGACCCCGAGTAAGTCACCGTGCCCCCTTCCCTTCCCGTCCCGTCCCGTCCCCACTTCGCTCGGGATCCTCCCCAAACGGAAGCCCGCACGTATGTACCTACGGCATCTAACACGGCGTGTCTAGGTCCGACCTTGTCGCCTTCAATTCCGCAGCCGACGCCCTCATCTCCCAGTACATCCCCCAACCCGAGTGGGAGGCTCTGACTTCGGCCGTCGGCTCAGCTGCGAGCGCTGCCGGCGTCACCGCCGACGTCAAGGATGTCATCTACTCGGCTCTCAAAGCCACCGAGGCACCCTCCTGGTTCGCCAGCGTTGTCCCAACGGCTTACAGCAGCCAGTACCAGGTATGTCGAGTAGTGCTGCTCCTCAAACGGCGCAACTCTTCCCCTTTCAAGCATCCAACCCTCCCTAGATCATGTGAACACTGACTGACTGACTCCTTAAAAGGCTCTCGAGACCGCCATCGACTCGCTGAGGCCAACGGTCACTGTCACAGTTCCTCGCCCGACTGTGATCGCAATTACCACGACCGACGAGAATGGAAGCACCATCGTCGCGACCACCACCGTCACCCCCAGCCAAACCACCATCACCACCGACGTCGTGCCTACTCCCAGCGTCAGTGTCGTCACCGGCACCGACTCTGCGGGCAACTCCTATACTTCCACCATCATCGGCTCCAACGGCACCGCCACTGGGTCCGCCGCTACTACCGCGTAAGTCCTTGTCTTTCCACGCCTGTCACAGTCATTGCCTCCCACTAACACTACCTCAAAGGACCGAGACCGTCACAGAGACGACTGCCACTGGCTCCGCTTCCGCATCTGAGACCGAGTCGGCCAGCGGCACCGGCACCGAGACTGCGGCGTCCGGCACTGCCTCCGGAACTGCCTCCGGCACTGATGCGCCATCCAATGCTGCCCCGACCGCCATGGCCAACGGTCTCGCCGGTGTGGTTGCCGTCGTCGGTCTTGTTATGGCTCTCTAAGCCAATAACGCTAAACCGCCGAGCATGAGAACGTATGAACAGTGAATGGGAGACGGCATGTAGGAAACAAAACGGCTTAGAGTTTCGGTACATAATTCTTCGTCTCACTTGATTTCTTTGGCATCTTCGAAAGATGAGGGCCGATGGCAGTCTAGGCAGTCTTGTATGACAATCAGTAATGAGTAATATGATCTGACGACGGAAATAAAACGCTCTTGATGCAAACCACCTGAACCTTCCCAGTAATCTTTTCCACTGCGCTTTCATCATCTGCCTCGACTTGGGGGGCTCTGTGTGGCCTAGTCGGCAATCACGGAAATGAATGTGCAGTGGTCTGTCCTAGAACACGACCAAGAGTAGATGGCGGTCCCAGACATTAGTCGATGAGAAATTTTGAACATACGCCGATGGTACTACCTATATCGAGGAGCTTTGAGCAACTAATCAACTTACGTTAACGCCAAACACTCCGTGTTTATTCTGTTTTTTCTTTTTCTTTCCCCGTTCCTCGCTATTCGTACACAAGGCCACCTCTCTACAGTTTATGGAGTTGCTACCTTCGTTTCCGTGCGATGCTGATGAGCGAGAAGAGAGAGATGCGATGGAGAGAGAGGGAGAGAGAGAAATCTAGAACCTGAACCACTACCTCCAATCCCTGTTTGACCGCTCGAATGCAATTCATGTCTCCTGATTTCCCAAAATCATGCAGAAACTATGTGCAATAAAAAGAAACTTTTTTCTTCGTCTACCAGCAATAGGCAAGGGGAGACAAGTGTCCTCCTTGAGGCAAAAGAAACCGAGAAATGCAAGCAGGCCGCTGACGTCCTTTGTGTCGAGCCCATGCCCAGTACGCCGGAGAAGAGAGTCTCATCATAGTGTGTTTCCGTCAGGAATGTATGGCCAGGATGGCCATATCCTAACGTAAGGGATTGCTTCTTGCCCACCTGAATTATTCCGCCCTCTCATTATTTCTGAACCAAGCCCCCGCGAGCTTGTCGCCAAGCATCCTGCAGGAGGAGCCTTTCCGCAAATTTCCCATTCGCAAGAACACAATCAACTTTTCCAACCGTGTGTCACAAGAGACACCAAGATCGGGCAGGCTCAAACCTACTACCAAGAAACGTGATGAACTCAACGACACTCGGGGATGGAGAGTATACCACTATCTCGTGGCGGATGATCTCAAATCCGTCGTGTGTAGCAGGTATTGAGAGAGAAAATTCCCCAACCAATGCGTAATTCATCAATCTCTGCCTCGTGTCTCTGACCCAACTCGCCTCTCAAGACATGCCAATCCTGGCAACGAGCTTTCTTGCTTCTTCATAACGAGATTCGACATCGTCCAGGGGCCAGTTGCTTTTCTCATTTCCAAGGAGAATTGTTTCGTAGTAAGCAATCAAATTTTCGAGGCCAGTTGTGCTGACCGTGTCTCCCGTTGCGTCCGCCATTGCACATGCCCGAAACTCCTCAAACATCTCCAAATCAAAATGCCGAGCCAAGAAATGAGACCAGAACCGGTAAAGGGATATCATATCGCTACCACCGGGAACGCCGCAAGCGGTGTCGGAGGTATTGCTAGGGATATCTTCAGCAAGAACGCCTGGACCGACGCCGGGCAAGGCGTCCCGCCTCTTGCACAGTGTGCGTGTGCGAAACTCAGGATACGGGATGTCGTTGATAGATTCCATTGAGCGCATCACCAAATGCGCGCGCTGTGATGGGCTCGGAAGACTGCTGCTGCTGCTTGTGCTGCTGCCGTCCCTCACATCACTACCACGAGCCTCATCGAAATCTTCTTCCAACTAGGACTGAAGGACTTCGGCAGGCTGGGCGTGGTTTCCGTTGGTCAATGTGGCGCTGTCTTGAGACTCGGCGGTGCCATTCACACTGGGCTGACCCTTTGTCTCTGCATCGGCAGAGGCCGAGCCCTCAGCGGAGCCGCTGGGTTGAAATTCAGGAACATGAGCTGAGAGCTGACCATTGGGCTGGCCGGCCGCTGCAGCATCAGTGGGATAGGGCATGTATCCGTTTTCAATACTGTTCGTGTATCCGGTGGGGGAGGTGACGGGGTAGTCACCCATCATGCCTGGGGTATATTGGACAGAGTGAAACGAGCGGGAGTAAAAGTATTGAGGTCCCGCGTTGCGCGCAGCTTCCACACGCTGGTCCAGGGCTGGGTAGACGAATTTCTGCCAGTGTGTGCGAGAACGAATGCGCTCAACGTGGTCGTCTCCGATACCGTAGTCCAGTTGTGCGCACTCACAGGCAATCATGCGGAGCGCGTCCGGATGCGCCCCCATCTCGCGTACTCTCCCGAAGCCAAGCACGAGATCAAACGGGACAAAACCCTGGCCGTCCATGTGCTTGCGCAGGAAATCATCCTTGAGAAGGTTCTCCAGGGAGAAATAATACTCAAGTTGAGGGATGGCAATGTGTCTGAGGTGTTCATACCATCCAAAAGCCGACTGCGGGGCAGGCATCGTTTGATAGTCCCAGGAAGGCTGAGCCATGTTGGCCTGAACTTGGCGAGCGCGGTTGGCGTTGGAGCCGCCAACTCCACGGAAAGGTCCTGAGCCGTTAGATTGGCCGCGGCCGCCACGACCTCCTCGAGACTGAGAACCGCCGTAGGACGGAGCAAAGTTGTTACCCTGGTGGAGAGGGGGGCTGGCATACTGGCGGGGAGGCCCCTGAGAGCTGAAAGAGTTGCCGTTGCTCATGTATGAGGACTGTTGAGCGTGCATGGGAACGTTGCCAGGATGCCCGCCACGGCCACGGAAGTTACCGCGGCCTCTGTCGCCGCGACCCTCGCCTCGGACAGGTCCTGCCTGTTCCTGGTCCGTAATTAGTACATGCCAAAAGTTTCATCAGTCGAACACCATGGAATCTGGACTTACGTTTGTTGCATTCGACTGTGAGTCCTTAGTACGCTCGCCGGAAGCAGGCGTGGAAGCCTTGCGCTGCTCCTTGGTAATGTCCATGGAAGCTCGCTTCGCGGCAGCAGGAGGCTGTGAGTTGGTTCTGGCCGGGGCGTTACCATCCCTGGCACGCTCTCGGGCTTCACCTCCGGTTTTGGAGGGGGCTGTCGCGGACTTGTCGGCGGCGGCACCAGCAGAACCGTGGCCTCCTCTAGAGGTGGTATCGCGGCCACCACGAGCACCACCTCTTCCTCCGCGAGCACCTCTTGTCGAGGGAATAGGAGTGGAAAACTGCACACTAGGCACGAAATCGATGCGCTCCCACTTGTCCTTGGACCGTCCCTTGGAACCGGACTCATCTTCAGCTTCTGGGCGCTCCGCTTTCTCGGCGGGCTTGCGCTTCTCTTCCTTGACGGCCTCCTTGACCGCCGTCTCCGGTGTGGGCCACGAGGTAACATCGTTGACAGGCGGAGGAAGTTCGGTGACTCGGTTGTCCCTCTCAATCAGCCTGGAGCCACGAGCGCCGGTTCTCCTAGTAGTCGCGTCGTCAACCTTGCGCTGAGACTTGGCACCGTTGACGGCCCCGTTTGTAGCGTCAGAGCTCTCAGTGATCTTGCTCTTCTTCTTGGACTCCTGGCTGTTGGGCCAAGTGTCGGCAGTAGGCGCAGCACCAGAGTCTGATCGAGAGGGAGCGGGTTGGACGGGCAGGGTGATGGTGGTCTTCGCAGCTTGAGTCTCTTTCCTTTGTGTCCAGATGTTGACCGAAGGAAGCGGCGCCTCAACCAACTCGATCTTGGGCAGTTCCTTCTCTTGCTCTGCAGCCTTGTCCTTCTTGGACTCTTCGCTCGACTCTTTACCAGCCTTGCCCTTTCTTGGCTTCCTAGAGCCCTTCTTCGGCTCGGCTTCGTCGGTCACGCGAGTGGATGCACTTGCTGACCTGACGCTCTTGTCACTTCGACGGGTCGAGCTCTCGGTGGCGGCATCCTCATCGTCACGTCGCGAGTCGGCGACAGAGGCCGCGGTAGATGTGGTATTGTTAACCTCGGCTGGTGCGGAGGTAGAGTCCTGCTTAGCGGCCAGCTGGGCCTTGAGGGTCGTATTTCTCGACGTCTCTTCTTCAGCGTTGGCGGTCTTGACGGCGTTGGGCTCAGCGTTGGGTTGTTCGCCGTTTGCTGAGTCCTTGACGTTCTCGGTGCTCTGGGTGGCCGAAGGCTGACCCTTGGCGGCTTGAGCGTAAGAAAATTGAGCAGCCATTGTGTCTCGTGTTAAGGCTGGTTCAGAAATGGGCATGCCTTGGAAGACTGTTGGGGGTATATCGGACCAGGACAGATAATCTGTAGATCGGATCCTGCCAGGCCCCAGAAATATAGCCTCGGAATGGCTTCTGCGTTGGTGAACCGAGGTCTACCAGCAACTCCTCGAGCGGAGACAGACCAGAGAAGGCGAACCAACCTCCCCGTGTAGTCTGAAGAAAGGGCGTCGAACGACAGACCGTGTCGTTAGCGTAGATATTGGTGTCGATTGACGTCGTGAACAGGTCGCGATTTACTGTTGGCGAGAGAATATGTTAGGACAAGATGGATTTTCTGATCCAGGCAAGGCGAAAGATGCTGCCGACAGGAGAGAGTGGGTGCGGGGAGAGCAGGAAACGAGCCTCCGACAGAGCCAGGCAGACGGAACTGTACTCAGTACGAAGGCGCGGGGGCTGAATAAAGGTATGGAGGGGTCGTGAACAAGCGGTGGTAACCGTACCGAGTAAGAGAGACTGTTGGGTAGAAGTCAACGGAATTTGGTGGGCTCAAGGGGGGAAAAGCAAGTCGTCCTCGGGTTGCCGCGATCTAAGAAAAATTGGCTGCGAAGAACAGGTAAACACAAAGCTTCGATTGGAGGAGGGCTTGTCGGACTGAGGGGTTCTCTCGCTGGCGGTTGTGTACGCAGATAGGTAGGAAGATAGGATATGCAGCGGACAGAAGAATAGCGCAGCAGGTCCAAGGAAACAGGAGACCACGAAAAATACCGAGAGTGGTAAGTTTGTGGAGGGAGGGGAGATTTTGTGCGCCTGTCTGTGGAAGGGGGAGGAAAAGG